CAACACTCAACACTCAATTACTCAGATCTCTTTACCTGTACGGAATATCGCTTTCATATAGAGCAAAGAGCTTGCCCCCGAGTCGGGCCACGCTCGTGTTCGCCACTCCAATCCCGCTGTACTGTCCCGTGGCCCAACGGGCCAAATCGACCATGTTTCGGGCCGCAATGGCCCAAATCTTCGTCCCGGACGAGAAGAAACCCGTCGCGGCCGGCGAGCCCATTTCCCTCTCCACTTGGTACTTTCGTGTCTCCACGAAACGGCTACAAAGCGTGGCCCGGCCGCCCGAGATCCGAATACAATGGAGCATACCGTCGCCATCGAATAAATGGTGCGGGCCGCGGGGCCCGAACTGCGGGTTCGGGCCGTTTCGGATGTATGCCCCGTCGAGGGCCCGTGGTAGGGCCCCCTCCGCCACGTTGCAGGCGGTGGGCGGCAGCTCGGCCACGGGGGCGAAGTTTCCGGCGAGGACGAGTTTCGGGTCGAGCGGGGGAGGGAGCACGGGCGGGTCGAGGTGCTTGTGGATGAGCTCATCTAAGGAGTCGAAGAGTCGAGCGAGTGGCGGCGGCCGGCTCGTTTTCTCGCGGGCGGAGATTTTGCGCTCGATTTTCGCGGGCCGGGGGTTTTGGGCTCGATTTTCGCGGGCCGCGGTTTTGGGCTCGATTTTTGCGGGCCGGGGGTTCGATGTGTCGGCGGCTTTGCAGGTTACGAAGGTGGTTCGGGCGGTCCGAGGCTTCGGATGGAGGTGAAGCATTGGTGAGAACGACGGTAGGTCGTGTGTTAGGCTGAATGAGGAAGGAAGTGTCCCCATTTTCTTTTTCTTTTTTTCTTTTTCTTTTTAACCCTTATGTGGAAGGAGAAAGTATAAGATGTATCTAAATCTGTAAGCATGACTATTTATTTATGGAAATTGATTGATACAGAGATAGGGTGGCCTCCGGTCTTAGTTTGTAGTTGTACTACTAAAAGAATATTTAAATCGTCTTATGTTAGATCACCTCAGTATAATTCTTATTTTGGCCAAAATAAATTAAAATTTATTTAAGATTAAATCAATGAATAATATACTTTAACATAATTTAAATCTCTTTCTACTTTTCTCTTTAGCTTATGTATCAATTTCTCGTATTGTTTTTGTGTTTATTTTTTTGTTATTTGGTTAAATAGAGTTCATTTGCTTAATTGTCTTCAAGACAATATTTGAATGTGCTAGATGTCCATTAGAATATTTAATGTGCAATTAAATTTATGGATTTTACAATTTAGTAATTATTGATTTTTTAAATAAATGATATTTGCGTATATGAAATTTATAAATGATATTTGATGAGTATATGAAATTTACTAATATGGATCATGGAACAATTTGTTTACAAATGTTTGTTGGGCCCCACGCCATACATATACACCGACCATATTATCAGATGGGAATTATAAAATAACTGTAATTATTGAACTTGAAAGTCAAAACTCAAATGTTCACGTTCACTTTTATCTATTCATTCTCACCAATAAAATAATAATAATAATTATTATTATTATAACTGATCTTTCACAATCGATTATAAATTCTTCCTAATTTCTGCCAATATAAAATATTATAATTGTGAGGCAAAATTAGGTGATGTATCTGAGAGGGCCTATATACCTAAGTCAAATTTTTTGAAGAAAAAAAATAATTGCAGTGGTCTCGAGTTAGTTGTTGTATACATCAAAATCAGCTATTTTACTTCGATTTATTAGGAAGTTGATTATATATATACATACATAAGAGTCACGCTAATTATTAAAGAAATAGAGTAAACATTAAATAGAGTAAACATTAAAATCAATGGCGGATCCAGGGAAAAAATCTTAGTGGGAGCACATTAACATTCTCGAGTATTGAAATCATGATTTTTTTAAAATAAAATAAAATATGCTAGTGAAAATTATCTTCGTATTAAACAAATATTTTTCTCATACATTCTTATTGATTTAATAAGTTAATTGGAGAACAAAGTTTTGTAAACACATATTCCTGACTTCTAAGTATGATATAAAAGTAAAATTTTAAATTTTCAAATAATTTATCTGTTCTTTAATTTTTTTTCCTTCAAAGAAGTCATTTTTTAATTAACTTATATAATCTCTTTTAAAAATAAAGCTTTTTTTTTTCTACTATAGGCCAATTAGTGAGTTTTTTTATTTCTTAAACATGAAATATTAATATCTTTTACAGCTCAATTCATATTAATAATCCTAGCAAAATAATTCACCTAATTAATTATGATTTTTATAATTTAGAACAATGAAATTAATAAATAATAATCAAATACTATAAGGTAGGCCAACTCCAGTCGGGTACATGCCCCCGGTGAAACCCTCTAGATCCGCCATTTAAAATATGAGGGTACGTGTATTTTTTCCAACTTTTGAATTCACATGGCATCTTAATTAAGTCAAATGGCCCAAAAAAAAAGAAAAAAAAAAANAAAACCGATAAAAACGAACAGAGAACTAGCCAAAATTGGCTTTCGGGCCAAAAACAGGGCATAATTACTGGGGGAAAAAATAAAATCAAATTGACGGACTAAAATTCAATTTCCAGAAACTAACAGAGAACTAGCCAAAATTGGCTTTCGGGCCAAAAACAGGGCATAATTACTGGGGAAAAAAATAAAATCAAATTGACGGACTAAAATTCAATTTCCAGAAACTTGTTACATTTTTATTGCATATTGAATTGTATGATTAGTTTTAAAATATTCGCATTTGTGTACTATTATATTTTTTGATCTCTACTGCATGTATATAGGATCATGTTGTTTTACTAGGTAACAAATGCTCTCACGTATGTATACTATATTCTACCTAGATAAATTCGAACAAATAATAATGTACATATCATGTGTAAAACGAGACGTTTATTGTTAGGTCACAAACTTGGGTCGATGAGTGCATTTAAAGTTTAAACACAAATTATTGCAACTAGAGACCAATCAGAAAATATAATAAGAAAGAGAAAAATTCTATAGAATAATCGGATGGTTTCTTATAGAGTCATCTACTACTTAATGTATTGACACCTGTCCAAATTGTATTTATTATAGGACACGTGTCAATACATTATTTGTGAATAAGTGTGGATAACTCCATAAGTCGAGCCATCCGATGGTTCTATAACAAAACTGTGCGTGTCGATGCCTTTCTGCACTTAAGTCGGATCTTTCTTGCGAGAGATTATTGCAGATTCATGCAACTTTACTAAAGAGACATTTAAAAATAGCATACAATAAATCCCAAATAACGTGACATTTAATTTTGTTTATATCAAGTCAACTATGTATGCTTCTCCTTAAATGGGGAATTCTGACAACTTCAAAGAATTTTGAACAAATTTATATTAGATTGTTCTTACCCCAGTAGATACCTATCGCCTATGAGCATTCGAGAGTGATTTTGAACAAGTCAAAAGAGGGCATGATAAAATTGATTGGAATAATGGAGCTGAATGAATATATATTTTTTGAGTTTGAGTGAGTAGAGGTTGCTGTGAACTCGGGTTTGTAAGGATATTGTGTGAATTTATGAGAGTTGATAAATTGAAAATTATAATTAACTTCAAATTTTGAAGTATTATATGTATATGGTTTTTTTTTTTATATAAATATATAGACGTGTAATAGTAATGCATTTTATATGTATTTGTCCTTTAAAGTCCTCTTATCATTGTTCATTCATGAACATTATCTACCTGAAGTGTTTGCAAAATACTGCCAACAAAGCAAATACTTGAGAAGGCAAAAATTAGGAGAAAAAACAACGGGTCAACTAGGTCGATAAACTGGGTCGACTGGGTCAAATACAATACTGTTGGAACTAGGTCAATAATCGAGTTCTGGGTCAACCCTGACAGATAAGAAAACTGAACCAACAATCTTGGCAAACATTAACATTAAACAGATTAGAAACTAAAGCCCTTTTATTCCGTGAAGTAAACAACAGAAGACAATATCAAATTCAAACCTTTATACAGTTTACACATCATTCTTCAAATCAAATCACAAAGAAGCCACAAAAGAAACTCACACAATTAAATAAACAATAGCAATTAATTTTATCACTCATAACATCACCATATTCTCGACCAGACAAAGACATTAATGAAAAATTTCAAGAGTAAAAATCAACAAGAAATCCCAGCTTCTTCCAGCAACTGCTTCACCTTAGTGATGTAGTCGTTCATTGCCTCCTCCTGTAATTTTCCTGTAAGGAATTGAAACGAAATTTAAGTGTTACAAACTAGATTTTGGCTCGAGTTATCAAATTATTATTCCGCTGATAAAAAAGCTATAAAATNAAAAAAAAAAAAAAAAAAACCTTCAACGGCTTTCCATGCATCCCACTTAGCTTTTTCCTTCATGTTAAACATACCCGGACGGCCTGCAAATTGGACAGAAGAAGAAAAAAATAAGGGGTGTGGTCTGCGGAAATTGGATGAGGATTAAAAAAATAACAAAAAAAATAAATGCGGAATCAATTACAATATTCAAATACTAACTCGTGTTCACATTTCCAACAGTAGCTTGCTTGTAAAGGCCATAGAGAATAAGTAAGTTCTCGTTTGAGGGACTCGAGGGCAATGTCCTGACTTTCTCTGCATACTCCTCAAATTCTTCCTGGAAATATTGCACGTTTTTCCATTCAATTTCAAGTACAAATACAATAGGAAAATATTGCATATCGATTTAAAGTCGTACTCAAGTATATAACAAACAATCGACTTCCATGATACAGAAAGCAAAAAGGTTTGATTTTCGGATCAATTCTGATATATATATTATCAAAACTGAGAGAGAGAGAGAGAGAGAGGAAAAAAACATAAATAAAAGGTTGAAAATAAAGAGGAATCCCACAAATTTCTAGTTACACTGGATTTAGGAAGATCATATTTCTAGTTACAATATTCAAATACTAAATCGTTAAAGGGAAAAAATGGTCATTTTGTGCAGCTCTTAAATCAGTTTTTTGTACTTTTTTCTAATAAAAATGCATATGTATGCTATATTGCTATCAAATGTTATACATACTTTTGTTTTATATCGTTTTTAGAGTATGACATTTTCGTTTGAAAGTATGCATATTTGTTGAAAAATATGGCCGCTTAATTGTTATGTCTGCGTAAACAATAGACTTATTGCAAACAATTTCAAGAGAAGACACCATTCTGCAACAGATTAACAGCTAACAGTAAAAATCACTATGCAACTTTCAATCATCATTTAACAAAAATTTTCACGGCAACTAACAACAAAAATCTAGATAACCAGGCACATAGAAAGTAATTTGATCCCCACAAAAATATCAACTTTATGCTCATTTCAATAAACATTTTCCACAGACATAACCCAATTTTTTACAGCAGTTCACGATAAAATCTAGATCTTCCAAGCAAGTCAGAAAGTAATTCGATGCCAGCAAAAGGCGAAAACAAATGAAAAAATGAACCCAAGAAACGCACAAATCACCCGTATTTGAGCCCCAATAAAATTGCAGATAATTCTAAATTGTTAGCTAAAAAATAAAAATCTCATCTTATGCTACTGTCAACAATCATTTTCCACAGAGTAACACGAATTTTCAAGACAGTTAACGACAAAAATCTGGATCGCTCAAGCTCATCAGCATGTAATCGAGGCCAGCAAAAAGCAAAAACATATGAAAATAATCGCCAAAAATAAGTGCACCAACCACCCGCAATTTAGCCCCCAAAAAACACAGAAATTTGGAATTGGAATCGTACCTTCAAACCCATGTTTTCTCCTCTCTCTTCTTCTTCTTCTTCTTCGTCACCGGAGATATTTTTCGAAATCTCTGCAAATGGCTACCGAGTGAGCACAAATGATTATATGCGACAATAATACTGACAGACGGAGTTTTCTAGGTGCAAATATTAGTTGTACTATTCGCTTATAATTGGGTACGATTTATGAAGAGCAATTCTGACCGTTGGATTCGGCTGAGGATCTGATGGTGAACTGGATGCCCCAATAATTTGGTGTAAATAAATGTTTTATTATATACAGATTCGATTCGATTTCAATGGTTCTGATTTGTAGCTATTTTACTTCATAAAATAGAAAAAGTGATTTGTATCAAATTTGGACGTCGTGGGAAGCATTTATTTTTAATTGATTGGATGCTAATGTTATTCTTATGGAGAACTATAATTTGATATGTTAAAAATATAAATTATATGTTATATGTATATTTAATATTTAAAAATATATGTTAGATAACGAGTATATCACATTTATAAATTTTATCATTAGTAATGAACGATATAAATATAAATTATTTAACTTACATATTAATTTTTATATTAATTGCAATAATATAATTTTTGCAATATTGACTTATAATGACTAATTAATATGATGGTTAAATAATATTAAATTGTTATTATAGCAATTATGAACGGATTTTTATATAGTTTGGTTATGTCATAAAAAGTAATTAATACAAAAAAAGGAATAGTAAAAATAAAAAAAAATATGAAAAAAGAAAAATATCAAAAGTAAAAATATTTTACCTCACTCCTACCTCACCATGTCTTTCGACTCTTCTATAAATACCACCCCATGAAAGAGTCACTTTATGTCGACTTCTCCATGTAACTTTTGTAGTCTTTCTAAAGATATGATACCACTTGAGTAGATTTTGTTCGAAAAATTGCACGAAGATCTTGTGTTCAATTTGTGAGGTACGGCGTGAAAACCGGTTTTCGAAAACTACTGTTACCGATGGTGATTGAAAATTTTGACCGAAGGGTCGTGCATTTCAAAAAGACCGATTTTTGGTTTTGCAGATGGTTATAGTGGTTTTCGTGTGATGAAAAGAGTTTCATTCTATTTGTTAATATGATGTTGGATTGGTTTGAATCCGTTGTTTTAGCTTCTATGTCATGTATTTTAAAACTCGAATGTCTTGTTTTTCTCGACTAATTTCTAAATATAACTTGAATGTATCTTCGTCTATTTGATTGTGGGACGAAAGATACTTAAACAACTAAATGTTTGAAAACAAATTCTATATCGAACATGACTTTTGCGTAGAAAGCTCATAATGAATCGTGTCGTGCCATATTGCTAGAAAGATTTCCAGAATGTGTTGCCGAAAATACACATAACAAGCATTATTATCAACAATCCAACTATTGTCAATACATGATCCAGCAAGACAATTGGTAAATAAATTTGGCGAAGTCGACCAATTCAGCTCTGAATAAGAATCTTGAAGACATAATCATGACAATACGAGTAAAGAGCTTTCAAGACTGATGTAGCAAGATTCAAAATTTACTAGCGCCATCAAGCTTACATGTCTATTACCTCCAAACTTCATTTTTCACGATAAATTTTGGACGCAAAACGTAAAAGTTCCAGAAAGATAAGATTGCATTCTTGACATAACAAAATAGCCCAAAATACTAAGAACGGAATAGTTAGTGCCTCAAAAAACATCCCCTATAGTTTCAAAATAAAACCACAATAGACAATAAAGATACCAACTTTTAGGAAATTGCGAGCTTCAGCTTCTTGGAGTTAAATGTCGGCTGCAAGGAAGTTCCCTGATAAAGCAACCTGCAGCAAGTGAAAACCAACGTGCCAGCATCAGTTACATATCCTTTCTTTTTCCTTTTTTTTTTATTTTGAGAGGCAAAAAACTATATGATACTGGAGAAAGAAAAGGAAACCTCATGAGGTTGTTTTACTACTCTGCACATACCTTTTCGCCTAGCTTAAATGGAGGAAGGCCCTTATAGGGACATGTACCACACCTAAAAGCATCACCAAGTCCACACTGCACAAAGCAAATATCGGACAAGCTTAGATTGCATAAAACTAAAGGCAGTACCTTAGAAGAAGCAAAATGCTACTAAATAATGGACCTGTGGGAAAATAACAATAAAAAAAATGAATTAGAATCTCAGACATGTGAAATAGACATACATTTCCACAAGCAGATTGAGGATTATCCAGCTGATCCATTGTAAGTCCAAGCTTTTCCACTTTTTCTTCTGCTTCAGCTCGTCCGCAAGTACAATTTTTGCAAGCTTTCCTTGTGCTCCCAACTTCACAATCACCCACTGCATGCATCAAATTCCAATCTAAGCCCATAATACGAGATTCCGAGGTCAGAGGGTAAAACTGTAAAAAAAAACGATGAAAGACTAACCAGGTGGTAATTGGGGTTTCTTGAGGTCCTCTTCAGTCAAGAGGCTGTCCTCATCAATCAAGTCCACATCATCGTCGATCTGAACTTTGGGTAAGGCTTGTGAGATTTTCTTAATGGAAAAAGATGAACCGATCTTCCATGTGGGCTTCTTTCCCACGACCTGTGATTGTAAAAAACAAAGTTGAGGTTCTTAAATTCATTGTGGAATAATCAGTATGCATTGATGGCGGGAAACTAGGTGATGATCTAAATTTCAAAAATCTAGATCGAGAAAGTATAATTCTTGACAGCAACTGATGTCAGTAAAACATGCATAACCTAGTATCTGGCCAAACAGAATAGAATATCCAAATCCCAACTGCTCTTCCCTAACCCATTTACACATTTAGCATGAAAAGCATAAATTTCGAATCGCAGGCTAATATGCTAACTTCAGCTACTAAAATGGACAGCTCAATGAAAGAAAACAAGAGNGAATTGCCACCAGAAGAGGATTTCAGGTCCAGAAAACCAGCCAGCAGCAACTTACGCTCAAGGGAAGAGTTGAGCTACAAAGAGAACCCGAACTAATTTCATATTCTCAACCAAAAAAAAAAAAAGAATTAATGATGAATAGAAATCCCAAGTAAGAAACGAGTACCGTTTGCCCCTGAGAAATTTCAGGGGTCGAAGAGAGAAGGATAGTTCCACCAGGTTTTAGAATTCTTGAGATGTCAGCAAGCAATTGCTCGCTAGGAAAGTCGAGCGATTTACCGAGAGAGACAATACCATCAACTGACGAGGATTCCACTGAAATTAGACCTGCAACGAGACGGCAAAATATAGAAGCACTCTAGGCCATGTTGTAAAGGTACTCTAATGAGCTGTAAATCCTTTTTCTGAAAGGAATAAGAAAGCTTTTCTCGACATAAAATGAATCACGCAACACTTTTATCAACTGAAGGAAATACCAAATCGAACAAAGTTGAGCATCATCAAGTATATATCCAGCTGAAACACAACATCACCCACTCCAAAAAAATATTCAAGAAAATTGGATTATACAGAGATCAGACAGATCAACGCAAATAAAAAACAATTCTACCGAGTGCACAAGATCCAACTACTACAAAACAAAATAAATTTCTAAATATATTAAAGAACTCATAGAAGAATTACTTTGGGATGAAGCTTGAGTAATGACAAGGGGATCAAAATCTTCAACTCCTTCCTTTAACCCCTTAACAGCATCACGAACTGCACTTACAGATACGGATATCAAATCCGTGACCACCAAAAACTTATCCTGCCCCATTTTCAGTTGCCTACACAAAAGTGCAAGAACAAAGCACAACCTCAAACAAACAAACAGTAAATAGATACATAGGCAGACCCAGAAACTGGAAATCATGGATCGGGGTCTCCACGGTAAGCCTTTAAACAGCAGACATCTACTGTGCAATATCAGCGGTTGGATACATTAAAAGTATATCTAACAGTCGAGAACTTTATTTCTTATAAAATTGGAGAACANTTACCAAGAAACAAATAAATTAACCATACGAATTAATTTACACATGAAAGATATAATTAGAAAATAAATTGAAAACAGGTACAAAACCAAATAACAATCTCTTTGTAAAAAAATTAATAAAAGAAAAGAAGAATCAATAATTCATTCATGGAAATATTTTACCACTATCACGGCTACTGATGCATTTTTCTTCTTGCAGCGGGATGGAGCAATTGGATTTAGGGATGAAATAAAGATAGAGAGATTCTACCGGTCAAAAAAAAAAAAGATAGAGAGCTTCTTTTGAGCTATCGGTAAGCTTCTTTGGCGGATTTTTTAGGGGGTGTTCTTACTTTTTTTCACATGCAAATTTTGTTTTGGCCAAAAATTGTGGCCATTGGATCTTTTAATAGATATGGCACAGCAATATCTGCTGTTTAAGTAAGCACCGCAGAGTTCCGAATCCGAAAATCATAACCGGATAACCCATTATTCAACCCCTCAATCCAGTTACCGTCGTCGATAAATTACAGCACGGAGAGGCAAATTGGACCACGGCCGAAAATTTGCCGCGGATCCATTTGAAAACCGAAACAATAAAGAGCAGAAATAAATTCATGAAAGGGCATCTATCAATCACCTTACAGATGAAGTGAAAGCCTCGAATCGTGGAGTAGAAGCCGATCGCCGGCGCCGATGAAAGCTACTCGGATTTTCTCTCTCCCAATAAATGAATTTACTGCAAATTCTGTAATAAAAAGGGGGAAAAAAAATGAAAGTTTGGCACTGTATTTTAATGGCTGCCTGGCTGGGTTTTAGAGTCGTCGCCGACTTTACTAGAAACGTTGTTAGAAAGCGTGGTGATGAAAGTGACAACTCCAAGGTTTTGAAATTCTCTTGGCCACTTTTTTTTTTATTTTTAATTTTATTGCTCATATATATCATGACCACATTTTAATTAATTCATAAATTATGCAACTAGTGCTACTAATATATTTTTACTTAATATATATATATATAATAAGAATTACCATTTATCAAAAATAGTAACAAAAAATAGGTCATAATTTAATGCAGCCTATAAATAGTAAGTTTATTATTTTCTTATTTTCTTCTTTAAAAATCATACAGCATTAAATGTTGCCTTAAATTTCGGACATTAGTTAATTTTATTATTTTTATTAAGTGTGTATGTTTTTATTAAGTGTGTATATTTTTATGTTTATTTATTTCTTAGAAACAACGAACAAGATTAAAATCTCGGTCTCTATATTTATAAAATCTCAATTCAAGATATAACAAGAGTTTTAGAATCTCGGTCTTTATATTTGTGTCTTTAAAAGAATATTGAACGCTAAAAATATTCATTAAATTGCATAATAAATTAATTAATCTTCATTTTTTGAAAATTACTATGTTTATTTTTTATTTATATGCATAAAGTAAAAATAATTAATATATCTTTAGATATATAATTTATAATCTTAATATACTATCATTTGGTGTAGACATTTATTATATGAATCATAAAATATTTTTATTTCATAAAATTAAATATAATTAAAGAAAATAAAAAAATTTCTTTGGATCAATCGGTGATTGAATAAGGGTACTGCCTAGGTTGATTGAATTACTTCTAGGTGATATTTTAAAATAGTCACAAAACTTGGTTGGTTCCAGATGACTAAGTTATGTATCAGTTCAACCACAACAAATTGATTATTGAACCTAAATATAAATTATACATTGAAAATATTTTATTACGTGAATGTGATGTAGTCCAAAATTCACATAATCGTATTAACAATACTTTTATGACAACATCTTTAATGATTTATGAATACTTATATATCATTTTATTAATATTTATGTAAATTGAATAATATTTTATTATAATATTTATTAATGTACAGTAAATATAAAGTTTTCAGAATTGGACCGTCATTGAAATGATCAAGCTATTTTATTAAATCATTTGTGGTTTGTTCAGATTTTAATTTATAAACATTTTAATAGATACATATATATATAGTACTTTTTGTAACAAATTTAAATAAAATGTGTTACTTAGATATCTAAATAATTTATAAATTTAAATGTTTAAACTAATTGATAAATAATTTTAAATCTCTATTTTATTTAAATATGTAATTCAATTTAAAATAACTTTAAGTATAACAAAATTTATTTAGAAAATCGTATCGATCCTACCAGTCCAACCGACTGGTGTTGACGGATTTGAGAGCAAATATTTTATTCAAGCGAACTAGACTGGTTATAAACTGGTTCTCGGTCCATCCGATCTGACTGTGTCCAACCCGGTTTAATTTAAAAACAATGGATAAATCATGATTAATGTTATTTATATATTTAATTTTATAATACAATCGTAATATTGTTTCCCGTGCATCGCACGGGCCACGCACTAGTTAATATAACAAATCAAAATATTTATGTACATGGTGAATTTTATGCAGGGCCCGCAGCCCGCTCTAAACCTTGTTTTACTTGGATTTAATTAGAAGTGTAAATAAGTCACAACCCAATTTAACCTTATGATACTCGACTTAATCATTTGTCTAGTCGATCCGATCTCGGCACATTTGATAATGACTAACATTTATGAGTAAACATGTCAATTTTAAATTTCAACGAGTCGAATTCGAATCTTAACGAGTTGTACTATGAAATTTTTTTATAAAAGTCCATATTTTCGAGTTTCAATGAGCCAAAACCAAGCTTGACTTGTTAACTAAACAAACTTGAGCTCAAACTGGGTTGAGTCAAGCCTTACCGAAACAAGCTCACGAGCGACTTATTTCGTTTAACAACTTTTAGGTTTAATATCATAGTAACATGCCCGAGTGGCTTCACCTGGATATGCTAAACGAAACAAGTCGATTCTTGTAGGTTTGGCTCGACTCGCCATGTTAAAGCTCAAGTTAGCCTCGGCTCGCCTGATAAATGAACTAAACTCAATCTCGTCTAGTTAATAAGCTTAAGAAATTGAAGGGTGTTAAACAACTTTAAAATTTTTTTTGCTTAGTTCAACTCGTCAACATTCAAATTTAACTCGTTAATTTTGATAAAGTGAATGAGCTCAAGCTCGTTTACCACCTTAATATATATATATATATATAATTACTAGCTGATGCATTTAATAAAATATTTAATAAAGTCTATTTTCATCTATATATATATAATAAGAATTACAATTTACCAAAAATAGCAGCAAAAAAATAGGTCAGAATTTAATGCAATATATAAATAGTAAGTTTTATTATTTCTCTTATTTTTTTCTTTAAAAATCATACAGCATTAAATGCTGCTTTAAATTTCAGGCTATAGCTCATTTTATTATTTAAAAAATACGGGTAAGATTTATTAAGTGTGAATGTTTATATTTTTATTTTTTTCTTAGAAACAACTAACAACATTAAAATCTCGGTCTCTATATTTAAAAATCTCAATTCGAAATATAACAAAATTTCTAGAATCTCGGTCTTTATATTTGAGCCTTTAAAAAAATATTAAACGCTAAAAATATTCTATAAATTGCATAATCAATCAATTAATCTTAATTTTTTTACAAATACAATGTTTATTATTTATTAATATGCATATAGTGACAATAATTAATTCATCTTTAGATATATAATTTATAATATTAATATACTATTATCTGGTGTAGATATTTATTATATGAATCAAAAAATATTTTTATTTCATAAAATTAAATATATTTAAAGAAAATAATAAAATTTATTTGGATCAATCGGGTGATTGAATTACTTTTAGCTGATATTTAAAATAGTCAAAGAACTTGACACAACTTTGTTGGCCCCATGTGACTAAGTTATGTATCAATTCGACCACACCAAATCGATTATTGAATCTAAATATAAATTTTATTTTGAAAATATTTTATTACATGAATGTGATGTAGTCCAAATTTCAAATAATCGTATTAACAATACTTTTATGACAACATGTTTAATGATTTATGAATATTTATGTACCATTTTATTAATATTTTTGTGAATTAAATAATATTTATTAATGTACACTAAATATAAGGTTTTCAGAACTGGACAGTCATCGAAACGATCAAGCTATTTGATTAAATCATTTGTGGTTTGTTCAGATTTTAATTTATACATATTTTAATAATATATACATAGTACTTTTTGTAATAAATTTAAATAAAATGTGTTAGATATATAAACAATTTATAAATTCAAATGTTTAAACTAATTAATAAATAATTTATAAATCTCTATTTTATTTAAATATATAATTTTATTTAAAATAATTTTAAATATAACAAAATTTATTTAGAAAATCGTATCGATCATACCAGTCCAATCGAACTGTGTTGATTGATTCGAGAGCAGATATTTTATTCAAGCAAACTAGACTGGTTATAAACTGGTTATCGGTCCATCCAGTCGGACTGTGTCCAACCCGGTTTAATTTAAAAACAATGGATAAATCATGATTAATGTTATCTATATATTTAATTTATAATACAATCGTAATATTGTTTTCTCGTGCATCGCACGGGCCACGCACTAGTTTCCTTCCAAACGGAGTTACATTTTTGAATGAATATATATTCTGTTAAAACCGTCAGGCATTTAATTAATTCAGAAGAATGCCCCCGAGCAAAGAGAATATGTTTTACAATTTTTTTTTTTTTGTAAATTTGAATTTATAAACGTATATCTACAATACGTTTTAAATAGTTTTTTTATTTTATATATTTCTAAACGTATTTCTGAAATACGTTTTTAATAGATTTTTTTTTTAAAATTATTTAATACAAAACGTATTTAGGATTCAANCCCCCCATCCTCATTCGGCTTCAAGAGCTTCTATGGCCGCTCCCAATTTCCTGGCATAAGAGTTAAAACCCTGGGCACAGGCCACTGAGTATCATCAGTTTTGGTACCATCGCAAAACCTGCTACTGAAATGGGCAAGAAACCGTCAGCGTCGAACGCCGGTGCCGGAGACGAGGAGCTGCACGCGGCGGCGCGATCCGGAGATCTGGCGGCGGTGCAAGCAGCTTGCGGCGCGAATCCTCTCGCCGTCAACTCGCGTGACAGGCACTCTCGAACACCGTATCCTTCTCTATCTTATATTCAGTTTATCACGATAGTAGTTATTTTCGCCTAGTAACTTTATCTATATGGATGTGCTGCTCTATCTCGTTTGGGCTATGGTGTCCTTATCTGGGAGCTTGAGACGAGGTTCTTCTAGGGTTAGTTCAATTGATGCTTATTTACTTAGATTTCATGGGATTGAATTTGTTAGGCTGCTAACACTGAATTTGGTCACTATTTTTTAGGATTATGTTGAGTTTCCAACGTTTTGCCCTTGAATTTCTCTATGAATTCGAACTCGTGTAACTCGTATAAGATAACAGACACTATTGTACTGCAATTTGATATCGGATGTTCCGTGATGGAGTTGAGTTGAAAATAGTTGTTCGAATGGCACAGTTTATCTACTGAGGTGCCTCAAATCCTTTTGAAGAAATGAAAATGCAGTGGGCAGAAAAGATAATGTCCAGTTTTAAGTGATCAAGAAACTTAGAGGTTGCCAGTTCTTGTCCTATATGTGGATGTGACTGTAGGATTAGTTGAATATTTTTAAGCTAATATTTGGGTGAAAAATAACAATAATTCTATTATTATAGCATTATCTTGCTTAAGTTTCCTGGTCGATTACATGTAATACTAGATAAAATTAGGAAAGAGATCACTTACCATTATGTAGGATGAGGCTTTGCCCCCGATCAAAAGAAAAGAGTGTTTGATGGCTTCTGGCTGTAGAAGTAGTTTAAGAGTTTTGACTTTTGAGATGCTAGCTCTTGATTTGAATGCATATATATTGACATAAAAATATTCTTATATTTGCGATGCATAATTCTAATCCATTAGGATTTATGATTGATCACTCCCCTATAACACTCATCAAGTGACACGGTAAAGAGTAGGATTTATGTTAATCATGCCAGAATAACATAAATGTCGAAATACACTTCCTCATCGCTTATGTCAAAGTAACACATTTTATTGCATTGATAGTTTTTTTCCCTTAAGTGAAATTCAACAAAAGACTGCATCTAGCAGCGTGGTCTGGGCATGCCGAGATCGTGAGCTATTTGTGTAAGAACAAGGCTGATGTTGGTGCAGCTGCCATGGATGACATGGGAGCCATTCACTTTGCGGCCCAAAAGGGCCATCTTGAAGTCGTGAAGATTCTAGTAACTTCCGGAGTCTCCATCAAGTCCTGCAACCGCAAAGGTATGATGGCCCTTCACTATGCCGCCCAAGGGTCCCACATTGAGCTCGTGAAATACCTGCTGAAAAAGGGCGCCAACAGGGATTCGAAGAACAAGGCTGGAAAAAGCGCGGTTGACCTCTCGGGCAGCGTGGAAGTTCGAAAATTGATGCTCGAGTACGAACATTCGTCCGGGAGAGGTGATGAAAAGGGCAAAAAAGGAAGGGATGAAAGTGATGAAGTTGAAGAGGGTGAGGTTCTGAAGAGGAAAAGCGAAGAGGAAATAGAGGGAAAGCAAACGGGGGCTAAGAAGTCGAAGGTGGCTCTCGGGCATCTGCTGGCTGAGGATGATGATGATGATGCGCAGGAATAGGAAGAAGGTTAGTGAACTTTTTTGTGTAGCTTATATGTTATCAAAATAGGTGATTGTGAGTAGTTTCCTGAACTTTTTGCTTTTGTTAAGTCGTAACATTCGATTAGCTTCCTGGAAGGATTGAGGAAAGTTGTCCTGCTCTACTGGAATGTTGATCTATTCAGAAGTTGTCGTTACCATATGGGCTGTTGAATTATCGTGAAGAAAGAGAACAAAGTTTTTTTTAGAAGTAAAAGTTTCTGTTATATGGCAGCTTATATAGAGAGAAAACAACTTGTACTAATCTGAAAGGACCTTTTGATCATATAGGTCTTAGTTACCTCTTACTTTACTCCAACCTAATCACTGAGCCTATACTCTTTTCAGAAATATGCATATTTTCATATAACAATAAAAAGGAAGTATGATATATGGTAGTATAACTATGCATTTTAGTTTAAAGAGTATGACGGGTCGACTCGTCTAACGGTTAAACCTGCTCACACGAGCATTTGCATACATTTGCATACATTCTATGTAGGCAAGTGTATCTGTGTATGAACTAAGTCACCTAGTGTTATTTTCTGAAATCATGATAAACTTGTTTAATATTTTTATTTCTAGACCCACAATGTTTTGGCTTTGGCTTTGGCTTTGGTGACTGGGGAATCTTTAAGCTGTTGGACAAACTTTTTAATAAATTTGCATTTACAAAACTGATTTTTTAAGCAAAATTGCACGGGACAACACGACATTTTTTTAAATTTACAATTTATCTGGATTTTTTTTTTTTGGTAATTCTGTACACTCTCAGATTCACATGAAGAATACGCAATACACAGAGATTAATGGGTGCACACACAGTGAAAGATTCCTATGATGGGCACACTTACAAATCATAAATTAACAGATGTTAGTTTTTAGTTGTCAGATTGATAGTTAACTCATATTATTTTTAGTTTTTACTTTTTAGGTTCCAAATTAATAGTGATCCGCACTCGCACCAACATTTGAAAGAATTTGAGGGGTGTGTGCTGAACTCTTTCCTCTTTGTTTGTCTGTTTGCGTGTATTTTTCATGGTGCAATGTATGTGAGTGCATATACTTAAATTGGGTTAAATCAGTGTAATAATCTATTTACTAGTAGTGCTACAGTTGTGTATTATACGTTGTTAATTGAAAATTTAATGCTTAAAAACTTGAAATCTATTATACGTTGTTAGAGAAATGCTATAGAGCCAATGGTTGGCTCCTTTATGGAGCCAACCAATGTTATAGCATTTCTCTACGCTGTTAATCTATTTTACGTATATATTTCAGATCTGAAATCTTCAGGTCATGTTGATGGCTATTGGATTTTCTTTTGTAAACCAAACTCACACGTTTTATTATAAACGAACCGAGGTTTGGGGGACTCTTTCCCTTAGAGCACCCACAATGCTTTGGGTCTCTTAACAAATAATTACATGCCACATGGAAAATAGACTTAGTCTATAAAAAAATACTTCCCAATGCAATTAAAAATAGACATGGTCTAGCTTATGTGGCAATGAAAAAAAAGACCAAGTCCACACTTGAGTCTATTTTGAACCCAAGTACAAACCCAAACACTCATCATTTAATTTAATTTTTCTTTTAATAAATAAAACATATTAGAGCATTTTTATTGGTTGGCATGTATGCTAGACCTAGTATTTTTATTTTTTGCATTGCAAAGTTTTTGAGTTTTTTTACTTGGGTTTGTCCATGTCATTTAAGACCCAAATCCAATTATATGCCACATATACAAAAAGAGACCCAAAACATTGTAGATGCTCTTATAGAGCATGAGAAAATAAATGGGAAGGGTCAAATCCCCTACAAATCCATAGTACTACAAGTCCACAGTGTCCGATTTTTTCCTCTTCCTCGTCATGTGCCTGATCCGTTGCTTTTATTCCTCGTACTACAAGAGTTGCTTTCTTCCATAGTCTGATGGCTATTGGACTTAGACTTGCTATTGTTTTATAAATTTTTGTACGATGTTGTAGAAAGCAATGTGCGACTTGCTTATTGATTCCAAATTCAATTTATGTTATTTAACTAATACACGCATTAAACAAGTGTACTCTTTGAGATTTGAGATTTCTTTAAAATTTTTATGAGCAATCATAATTTAGCGAGATTTTTTTTCTTTTGAAATCTCAATAAATATTATAAAGACAAATTGCATTATCAAATAAGTTAGATACATCATGATTCTTTAATGTACATTTTTAAAATATCAATAAATTTCGTTACTTTTAAAAGTCCAAAATAAATAAATCAAAATTTCTAAAATTTTAGAAAAATGTTTAGAAATCACAAATGAGTACTCTCTCATAAGAGGAGGAATCAAGAAACCGAATCACAATTTTTCTTT